CATTTTTGAGAAAAGGTGGGACCATAGGACTTTATCCATCGGGAATTGATGTGAATTGTGAAAAATTTGTGTTTACAACAGCTTTGAATGTTGCTCATTCACAACTATCCATTTCATAATATAGTTTTGAGTCTTTTAAGTCAAGTGTTTCACAAGTATTTCAAAAGTCAGAATAATCAAAGTACTTTTAATTTGTAAAAAAATATTTAATCCAAATTATGCACTTTTACAAAGTCTCGGTTTTGTTTTGGGGGTCTACTAGAATAGGTTTTTATCGTTAAATATAAAAAAACACATCTTTATTTTTTTACTTTTTTGCATATGCCATTGGCGGGAATTTTTAAAATAAAGGAATATTGTGAGATGTTCGTTCCCAGGAGAAAACTCTCAAAACTCTACAATCAAGGTGTTTCTGGTAGTTCAGAAACTGCGCCCTGAGACTAACTTTGTTCATAAGAATAACACAAACTTTGTGACTTTGTTCATTGTAACTTTGCAGACACTTTTCAACAACAAAAGCATAATAGGACATGATTTATTTTCTAAATACAGGATAAATAAATGTTGTATATTGTGATTTATATGAAGAGTTCAGATGCAAATGCCATTTGAAATTTTCTTCTTTAATGATGATTTTTGTCAAACTTGTATATTTAAGTTCAGTAATTTCACTTAAATAACAATTAATAGGTAATTATCATTGCCATTTAAGTCAAATCACTGAACTTAATTATACAAGCTTGATAAAAATGATCATTCTAGAAGAAAATTTCAAATGGCGCTTAGAGGCTTTTGCATCTGAACTCTTCATATATATATATATATATATATATACCATGATATCTCATATCATGATGTAATGTTTTGGTCATGCTGCCCACCCCTAATTCAAAAGCATTAAGATTACACTGAAATACTGAAATACAATTATCAAGGCTTCCAAACATCTGGAGGTAAAGATTCACATTTTAATCTGTCAACACAATCAATCAGAGCGCTGCGTCTGAATGTTAAAGCTGCAGGTACAGCGTATGTTCTGCGTGTGGTAGGAGAGAGAGTCCTGTGCAGTAAAGCGTGAGAGATGCAGACGTCCCCCACAGCTGTCCACCTGCGCTCTGGCACCCACAGACGCTTACCAAACACAAGAACTAATTCTGCCGCCTGAACTCCATTAATTTCCCTTTGCTGGGACACACAACGCTTGACAATAGCTTGTGTCGGAGAAAAGCTGGACTTGGTCAAAATAGTACACCAACCCGAAGATGACTGTTTTTAACGCAAGGAAGCTCGTTTCTGCCACTGAATTAAAAAATAAAAAGGTAACTGCCACCTTTTTATTTCACAATTCTGAGTTTTTTTTCTCGCAATTGCAAGTTTGCATCTCACAATACTGATGTTTTCTTCTCAGAATTGCGTGGTATAAAGTCAGAATTGTGAGTTATAAATGATTGCGAGATAAATTTGCTATTGCGTGTTATAAAGTCAGAATTGCGAGATATAAACTCAGGAAAAAAAGACTGACTTGCTAGTTTATATCACACAATTCTGACTTTAAAACTCGAAATTGTGAGTTTATATATTGCAATTCTGACTTTATAACTCACAATTGTGAGTTTATATCTTGCAAATCTGACTTTATAACGCCTCGGTTACGACTGTAACCTCGGTTCCCTGAAGAGGGAACGAGACGCTGCGTCAGTTGACGCTAAGGGAACGCTTTGCGTGATGATGTCTTGAAGCCAGTGGTGGAGGAAGTACTGAATCTCAGTACTTAAGTAAAAGTACAAATACCCAGATAAATATTTACTTTAGTAAAAGTAGAAGTAACACAATGACAACCATACTTAAGTAAAAAGTAAAAAGTACTTTATTTTAAATGTACTTTAAGTATTAAAAGTAAAAGTACTTGCATAACAATTTATTATCTTAATGTCTATTTTCTAATGATTAATAAAACATTTAATTCTAACTCATTCAACCTAATAGCCTACTCCTATAATGATCTTCAATAATGATGGAAAAAAAATGTCACCATTTCTGAAACAAGCTTGCAATTAGGCAATATCATGCTTATCCTTACTATATGTTAATAACTATGTTTGGCAGTAAACGCGATTCATTTATGGTGTAATTCTGAACCTCTTGGCTTGCCATAATCCTAACCAAACCAAACATATATTACACACGGTGTGTTTCCTATGCACGTAAAAACAAATTTTCGCGTATGAGTTGCATGATAAACACACTGCGTGTGAGACGCATTTAGTGTGACCGGGTTGATATACTGTATCTATGGCAACCAAACGTCACTGGTGAGACAAACGTGCAGCGAACGGACGGTCAGATTACGTTTTGGCAGGGGAAAAACTGATCAGAAAATGTAACGAAAATGTAACAGAAGTTGTAGAAATGTAGTGGAGTAGAAAGTATAATAATTGCTGCAAAATGTAACGAAGTAAAAGTAAAAAGTAGGCACTATTTATTGTACTTAAGTAAAGTAAAGATACGTGAAAAATGTACTTAAGTAAAGTAACGAAGTATTTGTACTTCGTTACATTCCACCACTGCTTGAAGCACATGTAAAATCAGTCCAATTGTGTGACGGAACGTCAGAGGTGGGTGACGTAATGAACCAGGAAACTATAAAAAGCCTGCCCAAACAAAGCAGCGTTAGCTTCATAAGGTCTGAACAAGTCGCTTACAGGCACGTAGGAGATATGGCAGGTGACGCAGCGGTGAGGACCACCCTGCCGCATCACAGACGTCCTGTAAATTCCTGCAATTCTGACTTTATAACTCGAAATTTCCGAGTTTAGTCTCACAATTCTGACTTTACAACTCGAAGTTGTGAGTGCATATCTTGCAATTCTGACTTTATAACTCGCAATTGCGAGTTTATATTTCAGAATTCTGACTTTATAACTCGCAATTGTGAATTTATATTACGTAAGTCTAAGAAAAAAATTGAAATGCGAGAAAAAAAAGTCTGAATTGTGAGATAAATGTCACAATTTCCTTTTTTAGTTTTTATTCTGTGGCAGAAATAAGCTTACATATTTAATTGATATGATATAAAACTAAAATGTTGTTTGGCTGAATCACATCTTAATATTATTAGGTAAAATCTTTTTTGAAAAGAGACCAGTTTAAAAGAATAATCTGTTTGAAAATCTAATTTCATTTATTACGCTGTATGTTTTGATTTACTATAAAAAGAAAGGGCTCATAAGAGTCATAAGGTCGGCAAACAGACTTCAGGTCATTTCAACTAAATAAGTTTAATTTTCTTCTCAAAACTGCCGTCCGTCCATTGATAATAATGCAGATGGAAATTCGTTTACTCTACTAATCAGAGCTGCATGTGACGACACGTGGACCGCCATAAAGGTATAAGTTATCTTTATAGTTATTGTTCTTGGTGTGAACGAGAATAAACTGAACGATATTATCTACTGTTTATCATTATAGTTATCGGTAGCACTTTTTTACAGTCCTGTTCCTCATTTACATAGTAATTACAATAACTGGGTAATAACTAGGTATTAATGAACCACCCCTAAACAAACCTAACCTTAACCCATGTAGTTACCTCATATTACCCAGTACATTTTTAGGTAAGTACACTTTAAGTAGACGTACTGTAAAATCATCTTTATAGTTATCGTTCTTGGTGTCAATAGGCTGAAAGAATGAAAAAATGAGAAAATGAAAATGATTAATTTTAAATGATTTTTAGATTGTGATTAATGCACCTCTGCAAAGTTATCTGGGAAAGTGATACTGTTATACACGGCAAGTTTCATAATGCTATAAAACTTACAATAATGCTGCCGTCTTTACAGGCAATTTGTCAGTCACAGTCACTTTCCTTTTCCACTAAAAATGCATCAGCAAAATCATGCAGTTTCTTGTTAACCGCCAGCAATGGATGGGCTTGGTTCATGAAGCTGTGTGAAGTTTGTAGGAGACCTCCTTTACTCAAGTGTACAGATTTTAATGGGAGACAAATTTGCATCTCAACACCGTAACTGCACAGGAGTCTGACAAATAAAAGAGGCCGCCTGGGATTTGTGGAAGCTGCCCGAGTCGTTCTAATGAGAATGAATTCAGCTGTTGGGATGCAGTCCTGACAAACACAGCCTAGTTTCTGCATGGATGTTTACTTCTAAATATTCCTCTACTTGTCAATAAATGCCCCTCTGCTCCCTTTATCAGCTGATGTTAAAAGAAGATCTGACAGCATTACTGTGGCATTTTCCCAGATAACAAATCTGACAAATCTTCTACAAAATTTTCCATCAAGAACAATTAAAAAGAAGGAAATAATAAAAGGCACAAAATTGAATAAATGTTTCATTGTGTTTTTGTGGGGTTTTTTTTTTTTTGGTTTTTTTTTTGGTCATGTGGAATACCATGGCATTTGTTGAAGTACCTCTGATAAAGATTATGGTATATAAATAATGAGTAGATAGATAGATAGACAGACAGACAGACATACAGACAGATAGATAGGTAGAATTAACAATAGATAGATAGATAGCTACAATGAATTAATGATTGATAGATAGATAGATAGATAGATAGATAGATAGATAGATAGATAGATAGATAGATAGATAGATAAATAGATAGATTGATTGATTGATTGATTGATTGATTGATTGATTGAACGACAGATAGACAAATAGATAGGTTGAATAAATGATAGATAGATAGATAGATAGATAGATAGATAGATAGATAGATAGATAGATAGATAGATAGATTGAGTGAACGACAGATAAATAGATAGGTTGAATAAATGATTGATTGATTGATTGAATGAATGACAAATAGACAAATACAGTCAGGTCCATAAATATTGGGACATTGACACAATTCTAATCTTTTTGGCTCTATACACCACCACAATGGATTTGAAAAGAAACGAACAAGATGTGCTTTAACTGCAGACTTGCAGCTTTAATTTGAGGGTATTTACATCCAAATCAGGTGAACGGTGTAGGAATTACAACACTTTGTAAATGTGCCTGCCACTTTTTAAGTGACCAAAAGTAATGGGACAGATTAACAATCATAAATTAAACTTTCACTTTTTAATACTTGGTTGCGAATCCTTTTCAGTCAATTACAGCCTGATGTCTGGAACGCATAGACATCACCAGATGCTGGGTTTCATCCCTGGAGATGCTCTGCCAGGCCTCTATTGCAACTGTCTTCAGTTCCTGCTTGTTCTTGGGGCATTTTCCCTTCAGTTTTGTCTTCAGCAAGTGAAATGCATGCTCAGTCGGATTCAGGCCAGGTGATTGACTTGGCCATTGCATAACATTCCACTTCTTTCGCTTAAAAAACTCTTTCGCAGTATGCTTCGGGTCATTGTCCATCTGCACTGTGAAGCGCCGTCCAATGAGTTCTGAAGCATTGGGCTGAATATGAGCAGATAATATTGCCCGAAACACTTCAGAATTCATCCTGCTGCTTTTGTCAGCAGTCACATCATCAATAAATACAAGAGAACCAGTTCCATTGGCAGCCGTACATGCCCAAGCCATGACACTACGACCATGCTTCACTGATGAGGTGGTATGCTTTGGATCATGAGCAGTTCCTTTCCTCTTCTCTTCCCATCACTCTGGTGCAAGTTGATCTTTGTCTCATCTGTCCATAGGATGTTGTTCCAGAACTGTGGCGGCTTTTTTAGATGTTGTTTGGCAAACTGTAATCTGGCCTTCCTGTTTTTGAGGCTCACCAATGGTTTACATCTTGTGGTGAACCCTCTGTATTTACTCTGGTGAAGTCTTCTCTTGATTGTTGACTTTGACACACAAACACCTACCTCCTGGAGAGTGTTCTTGATCTGGTTAACTGTTGTGAAGGGTGTTTTTTTCACCAGGGAGAGAATTCTTCGGTCATCCAGCACAGTTGTTTTCCGTGGTCTTCCGGGTCTTTTGGTGTTGCTGAGCTCACCGGTGCGTTCTTTCTTTTTAAGAATGTTCCAAACAGTTGATTTGGCCACACCTAATATTTTTGCCATCTCTCTGATGGATTTGTTTTGTTTTTTTAGCCTGATGATGGCTTGCTTCACTGATAGTGACAGCTCTTTCGATCTCATATTGAGAGTTGACAGCAACAGATTCCAAATGCAAATAGCACACTTGAAATGAACTCTGGACCTTGTATCTGCTCCTTGTATATGGGATAATGAGGGAATAGCACACATCTGGCCATGGAACAGCTGAGAAGCCAATTGTCCCATTACTTTTGGTCCCTTAAAAAGTGGCAGGCGCATTTACAAAGTGTTGTAATTCCTACACCGTTCACCTGATTTGGATGTAAATACCCTCAAATTAAAGCTGAAAGTCTGCAGTTAAAGCACATCTTGTTCGTTTCTTTTCAAATCCATTGTGGTGGTGTATAGAGCCAAAAAGATTAGAATTGTGTCAATGTCCCAATATTTATGGACCTGACTGTAGATGGGTTGAATGATAGATAGATAGATAGATAGATAGATAGATAGATAGATAGATAGATAGATAGATAGATAGATAGATCTCCCCCTGAAAAAACAATATAAAGAATTTATAGACGGAAAAAGATATATTGTGTGTTTTTTTGTTTTGTTTGTTTTTTGTAAATGTACCATGGCAATAGGGTTGGGTATCGTTTGAATTTGAACGATTCTGATTCCGATTCCGATTCCTTGTTTCGATTCCGGTTCCTAACGATTCTTGATTGCGATTCTTTTAAGAGGCAGGGTCAAAAAAAAGTTTAGCTAACCTTGCTAACCAACGGCCTTTCTGAAGGAAATAATCCTTCTGTAAATATACTCCTTTTGTCACAAATTTTGCATTTTGCCGAGATTTCGTTATTTTTAGAAAAGTGAAGCCGCACTTTGGATCGCCGACGTAAGGTACTCACGTTCGACTCGCGTGGTTATGCCAACACTTCCGGTAGACGCTTCTTCGTTGGTGTTGTTCAGCGGTTTCTTCTTCCGCTCGGCGGACTGTGAATATCGAAACTAGGAATCGAAATTTTAACTTTTGAACGATTCCGGGAAAAACGAAAAGTTAGTCCCGGTTCCAATCGATACTCGATTCTCGATACCCAACCCTACATGGCAACATGTTTTATTTCATTTTTTTGTACTGGTATTGGTAAAATACCATTATACATGAATATAAGGATTCAATACCATATTTTTTACACGACATCATGTCTGTATTTTAGGCAATGGATGAAATGCCGTTGAGAGATGGACACGGAGAAACATGTAAGTGTAGTGTGTGTCAATGCCCTGAGGTGTGTGCTCGTACACGGAAACGGCTGCTTCCTCACCTGGCTCGCCGACAGTCACATCTGCGTCCTGCATTAACGGGACCGTCCAGCAATCTCCACGCCAATGCGCCGTTAATTGAGCTGGAAGCCACTGAAGTCACCGTCGCAGATAGTGGCCAGTTTTATTTCACTGCTTATCATAAAGGTCCCACATGTCCCAGTTCCAACACTAAAATAAAAACAGATAATATTGTCTTAATTGCGTCCCTTCAACAATGATGTTCGACAGCCAAACACATCAAATTAAATTTTGTTTTTGTCCGGCGAAAGGCTAGTCAAGGTCTTATATTTCCATTGCAGGTACATTGTCTGATAAACAGGGGAACGAAAAGAGTAATTACAGGGAGGAAATTACATCAGAAATGAAGGGAAAGGATTGGTGCTTAAATGGGATTGAGCGGAGCGTTAAAAAGGCCATTAGCGTGACACCACACAGGTGTTCCTCACTCCTACCAAAACCAACAGAACACAAGAGAAAAATACTCCATAAAACAGACTTTTAAGTCGAAATTTATCACATCGTTCGAAATAAGTTCTCATTTCACACTTGTTCCACTTTGCCAAAGAAATAAAAACATTCTCATTAAAGGCCAAATGCAGATATTTAGCAGATATTCAAAAAGTTTTTTCTCCGCCGAGTGGTTCGAACTGTGTTATTTCTCCATCTGCTAATGGCCAACGCCCGTCAGTGTCCATTGTCTGTCATAAATTTGTCTTAACTATGTGTTTTCTTTCACAGTCTCTCGTTCTCAGACCATGATCCTTTTTTTTTTCAGCGTGTCAAAACCAAACGTTTAGGTTTCGCTAAGCACTTTCACTTCAGTCCATTTGTTTCTCCAGAGGTGTCCTGAGAGCGTTTGCGGTGTTTTAGTTCTACGGCAGAAACACATAATTGTTCAGTGTTCAGCGTTTCCACAGGTGTCCAGCCGTGATAAGATAAACGCACAGCTCTCTGTGTTACTCCACTACGGGCCTGCAGGGCTGATCATCTTATACAGAGAAACACTGGGGGGAAATGCTTCAATTACTTATTACAACAAAACTTTGAGAATTAAACATGGGAAAACATTACTTAACATCTTTTGTTTTTTTACATTAAAGGGATACTTCAGCTTTGTATTATTTTCGAATTACCATGCTTTCCACCCTCATATCCCCCTGAGATGGGAGATTTATGTATTTTTTTGTTTGGAAAAAATCCTTCGATGACTCAAAAATCGTCATTTCGCGTCATCGGAGGATTTTTTGGCCTGAGGCTAAAGACTACAGTCAGTAGTAGGGTCTGTCCCGCATGTTTTCGACCCGCCAATTGATGGGTCACATAAGGTACACATAGCGTCAGCCATCTTGTTTTGGAAGCTAAGCTAGCAGGCTATTGTTCTGTGGAGAAAGCTGAGTAGTAGGGGTTACCATCTTTTTCCCGGACATGTCCGGCCGTCGATGTCCAGGATTCAGCTTTTGCTTTCTGCGGTCGCCATTCATTGTTCATATGTACAGCTTTTGTTTCAATCTAACTGAATTCATTATGATTGGTGAATCTGAGTGTAGTGTTTACATGAACGCTAAACAAGTGATCGGTTGATGTGCGTTTTAACATTGCTAAGAAAATTCCCGCTCCTCCGTAAGAGATACGAGACCGTTGCGTCTCACAGGTGTCGCTCATCGGTAATCACTCCACCGGCCTCGCGCCGTTCTCCCGCGGCCCTCGCTTGTCCCGCTCTCCACAGTAAACATGATGAATGGCAACTGTAGAACGCAGAAGCCGAATCCTGGACATTTTGGGCGATCTCGAAGCACATTTTTGGGCAGACTCATCACGGAGACTCACGACTTGTTGTTTAAGTACTGCGCTCTGTTACCAGTGGGCGTGGCTTCCTAGGGCAGTGATGCAAGTGCATTCTGGGAGTTGTTGTCTTTCATCCGCATAAGCCAAAAATACATTTTCTGGCTTTTCTCAGTCTAGAAAGCTCCAAATTCATAAATAATTTCACATTTCTTCTACATAAATGACCCATTTTAAATACACTTTACAGAGTTGAAGTATCCCTTTAATGATATAGTGATCTATAGTGGTCTGTGTAGTGATGCTCACCAAAACAGCATTTGTTAGGGTAATGTTTAGTTTCTTTGTGTTTAGTTTGGTTTTGGTTTTGGAGTTCCATGTAGCTGTTAATTAGCCACACCTGACAGCATTTATGAGATCTAAAATACTGGAAAAATAATCATATTTTTTACAAACAGAAAGAATATTATAATTTTATAACTGTTTTCTATTGTAATATGTGTTAAAATGTATTTTTTTTAAATGTATTTGTATGTCTTCAGTGTCACACGATCCTTCAGAAATCATTCTAATGTGATTCTCATTTAATTTCTTTCACACACACACACACACACAAACACAACTACAGACCTTAAACTTTTGAATTGTTTATTTTATTTTTATTTGCATTTTATATTTTGTCCATATTTAAATTACCAAATTTTGTCCAAAAATACTTTTACCATATGTGTCCAAAAATACTTAATTTTCGTTAGATTATTATTACAGTAGTGACTTTTTTATTCTAAATAAAATAATTACTCTAATACAATCATTTAAAAAAAAATTAAATCAGCACTGGGTCAGTAAAACAATATCTGCTGTATTATGACAAATATTTTTTTTTATTTTATTTGTACAAGTTTAAATAATATATCAGAATTGACATATTCATATGATTGATATATTGATATGTTCAGTTATTCACAGTAATGGGAATTTGGGAGGAAATGTGCTTGAAATTTTACTTTTGATTTTGGATATGAAATATGTTTTCACCTATTCATAGCTTTTATTTTTATTTATTTTGAATCAAAACAGTCTTTTTTTTATTTCACAAAAAAATGTGATGCGCAATACACACACATATGTATATATATACACACACATATATGTGTGTGTGCGCTTGTGTGTGTATATATGCCTATACTCTTTGGGACCAGAATAATAAGCACATTTTCTTTAAGAGTATTTTAGTCCTGCTGCACCCTACTATAAAATAAGATTAGAATTATACCCTGTTCACAAATGACAGCCCTGCACCTCCTCCCTTTCTCTCTTTCTCTCTAGTTCTGGATGGTGTGAAGGTTGACATGGCTGCGGTCCAAGATCATCATGCCTGTGACCACACAGATGGGGATGAGATAAAACTTCTGTGAGTCTCTCTCTCTCTTTCACACACACACACACACACACACGCAATGCATTTCTCACTGAGGACGGCGGAACTGGCTGTAAGAGTGTGATTGGTTATTTGTCGGGGGGGGGGGGGGGGGGGGGCGGGGTTAGGAAGCCACCTGCGGCAGTGACATCAGCATGGCAGAGATCAGGGCCCCGTGGTCTCCGGCCCCCACCGTGTCCTTTTATCTGTGATCATGTATCACCTGCAGCTACACATCCAACCAGAGGAGACAGATTTCATCTGTCATCTGCGAGTGGATCTCAATACCCAGAACTAAGTCAGTCCAGGAGTCCATGTCCAGCGGCCGGCCTGCCAGAGCTAATCTCACAGATGAAGCGTCTCCTCTTTTGCTCAGTCATGTCCCTGTGTGGGAGGGGGGAGAGAGACGACGAGGCCCTGCCATCAGATTCAGCTCTTAACGTCCATCTGGGGTTATAGGGATAGTTCACACAAAAATGGAAATTCTGCCGTTATTTACTCACCCTCATGTCATTTCAAACCCGTATAAAGTACCTTTCTTTCTTAGGCAGAGAAATTACAGCGAATGGTCAGTGAATAAAAGCACCATAAAACTATCACAAAAGTAATCTATTTGTCTTGGCCAATAGCTTATCGTATTAAACATACTGAAGTTTCACTGTGAGCTGTTCATGGAGTCACTGATTCGAATCAGTCGGATTTGTGAACAAATAATTCTGACCAGTGTGGTGAACTGATTCG